ACAATGCAAAATATGTAATAAAATTTACTAAAAAAAAAAAAACTTGGATAAATTGAGCAAATGGATTGACAGATGAATGATGGGATTTAATTTACAATATAAAAGTGCCATGTAATGAAAATGGAAATGGGGAAAAGCAATAACAGCCCACATGAAAAATTTACATAATGATAAAATATTAAAGGTGTCAGGTATGGATTTAGGAATAATAATACACAAAAGATCATTGCAAACGGATAACATAAATGAAATAATGTTGTGAAAAGTTAATATGCTACACTGGCAACCTGTAAAATAGTCTTCAGATATATGGATATGAAAATGCTAAAAATGAAAAAAAAAAATAAAAATAATTACAAAGTTGTTCAAAGTGTATTATGGTATCCACATCTATTTTTTTTTTTTTTTGATATACTGTATAAAGTCCCAAAACCTATTGCAAATTGACTCCCAAAAAATTATAAGTTAAGAAGAAATAACAAAAAACTAGGTGCCTTCACTGCCTAAAAAGAAATAATGAGACAAAAATACACATTCTCCATGGAGAAGTGGAGAGGAATTCTTCCTCTGTAAGCCAGGCATGTTGTAAGAGGCAGATAAAATGCCAGGAGCAAGGGGCTAGTAACCCCTTCTCCTGTATAAAAACTTTCATTTTTCATTTTAGGTCACCCTGCCTCTGGGATCTGGCTGGTGTGTTAAAAAAAAAAAAAATACATGTACAGACTTTTTAATGTCTTAACACCTAGAAGTAAATACCCAGTAAGCACTGTACCTGGGAATTGCCAGACTTGTGGATGGCATCTTGGGGGATAGATTGGGTGGTGTCTTGGGGATAGGGCTTGGCTTTTAACCCTTTCAGGGTCCAGAGGCCAAATTTCAAAGTGTGCACCAGTGTCCAAGAATTTTCAAAAAATAATTTTGTTATTTTTTCTTATGAAATGGTAGAGAATCTTTTTTCTGAAGGTAATAAAACAAAAAGTACAAAATTTGATGGAAAATTGACAAAATTATGCTTTCACAAATTTTGATGTGTCAGCGATATTTACGCATCGGCGATTTTGCCGACTCGGACTCCCATTTCAGGCCAATTACTGTACATTATTCCAGTCAACCAAATTCTTAGCTATTTCACTAGTATTACTTCTATTCTATCGACTGAGCACAAGAAATCGCCAAGTCAACTGTTTCAACTACAAAATAAAGTGATCAGAAATTGGCAATTTGGCCAATTTAATGCAAAGTTCAAAATATTCCAATTTCAAAATAGGGTCCAGAATAAACAATGCAGGCATTCCTGGCACTAAACTAACATTTCCTCTGTTCATTAGTTACGTTTTTAGGTTTTACAAATTAATTCCATTTTGATTTTTATTCACAATGAATTTTTATTCAAACAAAAAATAGAAGATTTACTGTTATGCAATATTGTAATAATTGTAGAAATAATATCACCACATTTGTGAACATATATTAGACCCACCAGCTGGTGTGTATTAGATGTGTGAGGTCATTTGTTTACCCTTGAACATCGGCAAAAATTTAACATTTCTGCTACTTTGAGCTCAGTTTCAAGCCATTTTCAGTAAGAAAATCAATCAAAATCATCTCATTTTCTGTAGTGTATCTTCCATTCTATCAAATGAGACCAAGAAGTCGCAAATACAACTATAAAAAACATATAAAAAACACTGAAAAGTCGCTGTTTTAATCGAAAATTACGGTCTCAGTTTTTTTTCTCTCATTATGCACTGTGTGCTGCAGGATTTGTTTTATGTGGTACACACATACCACATAGATGTATTCTCTCATATCTAGGCCCAAATTTACCGCTCACAGCTTATCAGAGTGAGCTGAGCTCATGGCATAGATCTACGGATTGGACCCTCAACGTAAAGCCGTAGATCTACAGCACGGACCCTGAAAGGGTTAAATGAGCAGAGTTAGGATAACACCTCTTTACCTGTAAATTCAGTGTATTTAAAATAAAAGTAGAAAAACCCCAAAGACATAAAACAAACTGCATTCAGGAACTAAGAAATACAAATTGCAGAGGAAGAATGAAGGCACTAGAAATGCCCTTATTAGAAAGCAAGAAAAAAATTATAACTGTATGCTCAAAATAAAAACAATAAGTACAAGAAAACAGATATTGGCATGAGAGTGGCAAAAAGCTGAAGTTGACCCCAAAAGAATACAGTATGAACCATAAATACTGGAAACTTTAAATGTAAATATTTTTTTTTTATTATCACACCGGCCGATTCCCACCAAGGCAGGGTGGCCCGAAAAAGAAAAACTTTCACCATCATTCACTCCATCACTGTCTTGCCAGAAGGGTGCTTTACACTACAGTTTTTAAACTGCAACATTAACACCCCTCCTTCAGAGTGCAGGCACTGTACTTCCCATCTCCAGGACTCAAGTCCGGCCTGCCGGTTTCCCTGAATCCCTTCATAAATGTTACTTTGCTCACACTCCAACAGCACGTCAAGTATTAAAAACCATTTGTCTCCATTCACTCCTATCAAACACGCTCACGCATGCCTGCTGGAAGTCCAAGCCCCTCGCACACAAAACCTCCTTTACCCCCTCCCTCCAACCCTTCCTAGGCCGACCCCTACCCCGCCTTCCTTCCACTACAGACTGATACACTCTTGAAGTTATTCTGTTTCGCTCCATTCTCTCTACATGTCCGAACCACCTCAACAACCCTTCCTCAGCCCTCTGGACAACAGTTTTGGTAATCCCGCACCTCCTCCTAACTTCCAAACTACGAATTCTCTGCATTATATTCACACCACACATTGCCCTCAGACATGACATCTCCACTGCCTCCAGCCTTCTCCTCGCTGCAACATTCATCACCCACGCTTCACACCCATATAAGAGCGTTGGTTAAAACTATACTCTCATACATTCCCCTCTTTGCCTCCAAGGACAAAGTTCTTTGTCTCCACAGACTCCTAAGTGCACCACTCACTCTTTTTCCCTCATCAATTCTATGATTCACCTCATCTTTCATAGACCCATCCGCTGACACGTCCACTCCCAAATATCTGAATACGTTCACCTCCTCCATACTCTCTCCCTCCAATCTGATATTCAATCTTTCATCACCTAATCTTTTTGTTATCCTCATAACCTTACTCTTTCCTGTATTCACCTTTAATTTTCTTCTTTTGCACACCCTACCAAATTCATCCACCAATCTCTGCAACTTCTCTTCAGAATCTCCCAAGAGCACAGTGTCATCAGCAAAGAGCAGCTGTGACAACTCCCACTTTGTGTGTGATTCTTTATCTTTTAACTCCACGCCTCTTGCCAAGACCCTCGCATTTACTTCTCTTACAACCCCATCTATAAATATATTAAACAACCACGGTGACATCACACATCCTTGTCTAAGGCCTACTTTTACTGGGAAAAAATTTCCCTCTTTCCTACATACTCTAACTTGAGCCTCACTATCCTCGTAAAAACTCTTCACTGCTTTCAGTAACACTACCTCCTACACCATACACTTGCAACATCTGCCACATTGCCCCCCTATCCACCCTGTCATACGCCTTTTCCAAATCCATAAATGCCACAAAGACCTCTTTAGCCTTATCTAAATACTGTTCACTTATATGTTTCACTGTAAACACCTGGTCCACACACCCCCTACCTTTCCTAAAGCCTCCTTGTTCATCTGCTATCCTATTCTCCGTCTTACTCTTAATTCTTTCAATTATAACTCTACCATACACTTTACCAGGTACACTCAACAGACTTATCCCCCTATAATTTTTGCACTCTCTTTTATCCCCTTTGCCTTTATACAAAGGAACTATGCATGCTCTCTGCCAATCCCTAGGTACCTTACCCTCTTCCATACATTTATTAAATAATTGTAAATAATATAATTGTAAATAATGTAAATAATATACATTAATTTAAGATAGGACACCAAAAGTACTATGTATTTTATTCCTGTCACTAAATAGGTAATTAAAGGAAACAAAATAAATTTACAGACATGCAAGAAAAGATTCCAAAATATAAACACGGCCAATAGAAACTAATAATTTTGGACATGCAATCTTTATGCAATAGAAGAGACAGAAGCAAAGAAGGAATACAAGGACAACTTAAGGGAACATTGATAAGGAGAACCATGAATATAAATTATGGAAACATGCAGTAAACAAAACAGTAAGTACTTCCTTTTCATAGACTAGAAGACTGGAATGAGCAGGAAACTAAATGAATATAAAAGACCATTTAATTAATGATGGGACACCACAAACAAAATTACTCCTGTAGCATAGGTTAAAAAAAATTCTCCTGAAGTCCTTACCCTCATGTAAAATGCAGCAACAGAAATTATACAAAAAGGATATTCCAAAACTTTGTTGATCTGCTCAAATCTGCAATGAACACAAGACTTGTTCCAACAGGCTGCATCCTGTATTTTGAACCTAAATTGTTTATGTTAAATAATTAAGTACTTTTCATGATATCAAAAAGAAGACAAACATTTTTTTTTTTAGGAAATTCATTTGTTCATACACAAAATTTACAAAAGCAGGCGACAAGAAAATATCAAGAAAAAGTGCATCTTTAAAGTGTATGTCACAGACAATAAGTGGTCCAGATCATATAGCAAATTCATTCATTCATTCATACTCGTCCTCCCCCTCTCAAACACACACACACACACAAACACACTCGCTTGTGTGCACACACACACATATTCACACACACACTCACACACACACTCACACAAACACACACTTGTGTGCACACACACACACACACACACACACACACACACACACACAACCAGTGAAGAGGCAGGGCCAGGAGCTGGGACTCGACCTCTGCAGCCTCAACTGAGTACAACTAGGTGAGTACACACACACACACCTACCTCACAACTCACACACACACACACACACACACACACACACACACACACACACACAACACACACACACACACAACACAACACACACACACACACACACACACACACACATACTCTCACTCACTCACATATCTCACACACACACACACACACACACACACACACACACACACATATACAACAGGCCTAGTGTCTAATCGACATGTGCCTACTACAAAATGGTAACTAACACACACACACACACACACACACACACACACAATAGACATGAATAGCACAAATGAACTGACAATCAATTATACTTTATGAATGTTTATTGATGAGGTGACTTCACAATGAGGTTGAGTAATGTATAATACCCTGCTTGGTGGATCACTGTATACATGTCAACACATGATCATCTCTTGAAAATGAACACTTACAGATATCTAACAAAAACTTAGAAGTCAAAGTAATAAATATGCATCGTATATAACAGTAATAACAGCAATGATTCAAATATTTACAAGGCATTATATAAAAAATAATAAAGAAATCTATATTCATCTATACTGTTTGAGTAAATTTGTGTGGAAGTAAAAGAAAAATGTTTAATGATGCATTACGACTGTTTACAGAAAATAATTTAGCAATTAAAGATATATATTCTCTTATTTTTAACACTCTGATCACTGCAATGTACCAGTGTCCAAAACTCTTACTCAGGTAAAAACTTTCTTAAAATTGTGTCGATATTCACATCCTCTGTACTTACGAATGATTACCAAAATTAAAAATATGAAATTGTCACTGGTAATCAAGAGTTTAGATTTATTGTAAAAAATGTGAGGTATTGTATAGCTGAAGCTACTTTATTACTGTACTGGGTTGAATAAAGAGTAACTTAAAATTGATAGCAGCCATGATACCAAAAAAATTTAAAAATCCCAGTCTTGTATTACAATAGCTGATGCTTTACAACAACTTATACTAAATCAAAATTTTACAAGTTCTCATTATATTCAGTATACAATGTGTGCATTGAATGTGGGTGTGGGTGTACTAGACTTCTTTCTAATTTTTTTTGTTTAAACTCAAAAGTCTTGCCCCTAACATTAATAGCATGGTCATTTCAACAAATCTGAAGCAATACGAGCAGTGCTGATATCCAACCAATTACAGTATTGCCCAAAGTAAATAAGAACTTTCAGTGGCTATTCAGAGTGTGTGTTAATGTTGCCTGCAGTTTGATTCCATTGCTACACGATATTCGAAAGCTGGAATGATACATAATACTATGGTGGTGTGTTTATTTGAATATGTGTATTGATGAGGAAGAGGGAGGGCAAAAGAGGCATGTAACAGAGTAGTTGTGACATATTTGATCTTAGAGAGCAAGTGAATTGACTGTACATATTTGTTTTTCACTGATTACAATGGATCTTCTAATAATAGCAAGCTCTGTAAAGTAAAAGGACACAAGTGCAACTAATGTGACATTTTTATTGTGGCAACGTTTTGCTCTCCAGGAACTTTGTCAAGCTGTTACAAACAGTACATGAACACAGAGGGTATACAGTGGACCCCCAGTTCCCGATGTTACCGGTATCCGATAAATTCGGTTGCCGATGCATTTGATCGAAAAATTTTTGCCTCGCTTCCCGATACAAAACCCGGTATGCGATACGATTCGTACGAGACGTGTCCACTTGTGGCCTGAACTCCCCCGTGTGTACCAGTGTTTACAAGCCACCCAGTGTGCGCGCATCTAAGGATACATTTGGTACATTCCATATTATCCATATTATCACTGTTTTTGGTGCTTGTTTCTGCAAAATAAGTCACCATGGGCCCCAAGAAAGCTCCTAGTGCCAACCCTTCGAGACCAAGGGTGCTAATGACTGTTGAAATGAAGAAAGAAATAATTGCAAAGTACGAAAGTGGAGTGTGTGTGTTGGAACTGGTCAGGTTGTATAGTAAACCCCAATCAACCATCTCTACTATAGTGAGCAGGAAAACGGCAATCAAGGAAGCTGTTCTTGCAAAAGGTGCAACTGTGATTACGAAACAGCAACCGCAAGTGTTAGAAAATGTTGAGAGACTGTTATTGGTGTGGATAAATGAAAAACAGATAGCAGGAGATAGCATCTCTCAAGCGATCATTGTGAAAAGGGTGATGAAAATCACCCTCACACAGCTATTGCAAGCCATGCTGGTGACTATTACACTGACAATGTTGTGAAACACTTTAGGGAAGTCATAAAGGAACGAGAGGTACAGGCCTCTATGGACAGATATGTTGTGCGAGAGAAGTCCAGTGACTCTCAAGCTGGTCCTAGTGGCATTAAAAGAAGAAGGGAAGTAACCCCAGAAAAGGACTTGCTACCTCAAGTCCTAATGGAACGGGATTCCCCTTCTAAACACTAAGACCATCCACACTCTCCCCTCCTCCCATCCCATCAATCATCACCAGATCTTCAATAAAGGTAAGTGTCATGTAACTGTGCATGTCTTCTTCAGTTTGTGTGTATTAAAATTAATATTTCATGTGGTAAAAAAAATTTTTTTTTCATACTTTTGGGTGTCTTGCACGGATTAATTTGATTTCCATTATTTCTTATGGGGAAAATTGATTCGCTTTCCGATAATTTTGGTTTACAATGAGCTCTCAGGAACGGATTAATATTGTGAACCGGGGGCCCACTGTATATAGGCTCAGAGTGAGGTGCAATACTAGTGGTGGTAGTAGTAGTAGTAATACAATATGGTAGAACAATTAACTTGAACATGAGTAAAAGGATATAAAAGCTATTACTTGGGTAACATAAAATTAGGTTAGACAAATATTTTTATAGGAGGCTGGATAGAGAAGGCCTGTTTCAGTGTTCATTCTCTGTAATGTGCTTGTGTAGTAGGAGAGACTATGTGATGGCAGGGTTTACTGTTTTCAGGAGGATTCTTGCTAAGACTTCAAAGATGGTGAAGCTGCCTTTGTTTTGTTAAATCATATTAGAAACAGCAATTAGTGATGATTCAAGGCACTTGCATCTGCAGAAATTAGTTTCTTTGATCACTAATTGGGCATCCTTGAATTTCATGAGATGATTGGTGGAATTTCAGTGTTGTACGCAGGAGTTGTTCAAGCTGTCGTTCCTACATGCATAAATGTGTTCATTGAGGCAGGTGTCGAGGTTTCTTGCCGTTTCACCTACATAAATCTTGATGCAGCCTCCACAGGGTATAGTGTAAACCCCTGCATTGAGTGGTTCATGGTGTTTTGATTTTGTCTTGGTTAGATCCTTTATTGAAGTGCTGGAAGCGATGGCGACTTTGGTGTTAGCTTGTGAAAGTACTTTAGAAACGCTCAGTGCAACCTGGCTGTTGGGAAGAATTATAACTTTGTTAGAAGTGGTGTTGGTGCGTGGAGAATTAATGATGTGAAGAGATTTTTCTTGCAATCTTTGATGAAAAAAGAAAGAAAATGTAAATCAGTGAAGGTTTGGTGAATGTATGTGCGTTCCTCGTCAAGAAACTCAGGACTACAAATTCAGTATGCTCTTAGGAAAAACCCGATAATGATGCCTCTTTTGGTCTTGGTATCTTGACCGGAATAGAAGTGTGTGAGATCATCCCCTCAAGCGTCACTTGGTTACATTACGTGGACGACGTCCTCGTAATAACTCCCAAACGTTCTGATGTACAGAATCTTCAGGCAAGGCTCAATGCAGTTGAACCAGCAATCCAGTTTACACTAGAAGAAGAGTCCAATGACAAGCTACCTTTCCTAGACGTCCTCATTCACAAAGCAGATAACAACCTAAGATTTCAAGTTTACTGGAAACCTACATATAAAAATGATCTCACAAACTTTTATTCCAGTCAGGATACTAAGACCAAAAGAGGCATCATCGGATTTTTCCTAAGAGCATACTGAATTTGTAGTCCTGAGTATCTTGACAAGGAATGTACATACATTCACCAAACCTTCACTGATTTACATTTTCCTTCCTTCTTCATCGAAGATTGCAAGAAAAGAACTCTTCAGATCATTAATTCTGCACGCACCAACACCACTCCTAACAAAGTTATAATTCTTCCCAACAGCCAGGTTGCACTGAATGTTTCTAAAGTACTTTCACAAGCTAACATCAGAGTTGCCATCGCTTCCAGCACTTCAATAAAGGATCTAACCAAGACAAAATCAAACCACGAACCAGTCAACGCAGGGGTTTACACTATACCCTGTGGAGGCTGCGACAAGATTTATGTAGGTGAAACAGCAAGAAACCTCGACACCTGCCTCAATGAACACATTTATGCATGTATGAACGAAAACTTGAACAACACCTGTGTACAACACCGAAATTCCACCAATCATCTCATGAAATTCAGAGATGCCCAATTAGTGATCAAAGAAACTAATTTCTGCAGACACAAGTGCCTTGAATCATCACTAATTGCCGTTTCTAATACGATTAAACAAAACAACGGCAGCTTCACCATCTCTGAAGTCTTAGCAAGAATCCTCCTGAAAACAGTAAACCTTGCCATCACATAGTCTCTCCTACTACACAAGTACATTACAGAGAATGAACATTGAAACAGGCCTTCTCTATCCAGCCTCCTATAAAAATATCTGTGTAACCTAATTTTATGTTACCCAAATAATAGCTTTTATATCCTATTACTCATGTGCAAATTAATTGTTCTACCATATTGTATTACTACTACTAGAACTTATATCACTACTACTACCACTAGTATTGCACCTCACTCTGAGCCTATATATACCCTCTGTGTCCATGTACTGTTTGTAATGGCTTGACAAAACTCCTGGAGAGCAAAACACTGCCACAATAAAAATGTCATATTAGTTGCACTTGTGTCCTTTTACTTTACATACTGTCGTAATTCTACCAACATTATTACAATAGCAAGCTCAATAATGACAAGAACACATAAATGTGTCTTATTTTGCCAGCCAACTGAATCTATTGGTGGTATAATGCTATTGTGTGCTAAGTTTCAAAAATAAGAAAACACTGAAGGAGATATACAAAGTTGTCTACTGGGAGATGTTAACTTTTAAAGAAATGACCAGAATACTTGCTGTGGCTAAACACCATGTGCTTTCAAAGACTTAGAAAAAAAATACAAGTTTCAGGACACTACAAAATACCAAAATAAAAGAAACTACTTTTCAAACTGGCTTTGATCTTTTTTGACACAGTACATTCACATGCATTGCACAGAATGTCAATAGATAAAAGTAAGTTGTTCCTAACTGCTCAGTGAATAATGGGAAGGATAGGCCTCATGACCAATGCTGACAAGAAACTGACTAATCAAGAACTGTAAAAATGATAAAGAATGAAAGATCAAAGGTCAAGCCAAAAGAATTTTCCCAGAACAGTCACTCTCAGTAGCAGCAGCAGTGACCAACAGCCAAGTGTGCCTAATACCCCTCAATCATCATTAAAACAAAGACTGTCCAGTTGGCTTAAAAAAAATAAAAATTAGAAGATAAATTGGTGGTATGAAAGACAATTCAGAGAGAGAGAAAGGGTTCTTGAGATGGTTTGGTCATTTAGAAAGGGTGGAGCAGGCTGCCCAAGGACTACAGTGGACCCCAGCTTAACCAAGATAGGGACCAAAAGAATAGTTCATTAAGCAAAAAATACATTAAGCAAATTTCATCATCCCACAGAAGTCCATGTTATAACATGAGACGAGTACTGAGATAACAATATTCCATATAATTATTTTTTTACAAAAGTTAAAAAAAAATATGTACTCACCAGAGATGGGTCTATTATTTAGTAGAAGCATAGGGGTGTTATACCCTTATTCTATTAGTGTATAACTAAAAAGTACAAAAAAATAAACAGGGTCTGATCATGTCTTTGACAACAGATGTCCCATTACATTATCAAAATATCAAGTGCTGTTGTTTAGTTGGTGTATTGTGTTATGTATTGTATTGTTGTTCTGTTGGTCATTGTTGTCATTATTATTATTGTTGAAGGGCCTCCACAGCACAAACCATACTGAGCCCTACCTCCCAGCTCCCAGGGATTAGGAGGTTGTACATCTTGGGAGGACATCTCAAGGGTGTAGCAGTCCCTACAGGAAACAGAAAAAGTATCCAGAGGACTCTGGTCAAAGGTAATGGAGGAAAAGAAGTATCATGTTCTGCTTTTGTTATTGTTGAGTTGAAGGACTATGACAGCTTCTAGGCAGACTATTGTTGGGTTCAAGAGCAGCGACAGCCTGTAGACTGTCACAACCCTTCAACCCAACAATAACAGACAGGATGTGTTATTTCCTTTGATTCACCAAAAAACCCAAACTTAGGAGAGGAACCTTACAACAATGTTTCGGTCTGTCCTGGATCGTTGTCAAATCACAACTGGGGTGGTAAGAGGCGAGAAAGCCTAAAGACGATATTGTGACCTTCTTTTCTTTACTTCTCTCAATATCTTGATATTTTTTCATAGTTTTTTGTTAAGCAATCATAAAATGGGGAAAAATAACACCACTATGCCTCTACTAAACAATGGTCCCATCTCTGGTAAAGGGAAGAAGTATTAGGAGGTATAATATTCAATATGACATGCTCCTCTTAGACATTATTATGTCCTGTCTCTCCCAAGGTGTTAAACAATTCAGATATATTTATAAACATTATCCCCTTTTTCCTCACATTTTAACTAATGATATGCAGAGAGCATATGAAAACTGTCTGTTGACTGCTGAGGTAGGAAACAGCTGATTTAGTCCCATCTGTGGAGACATGCCAGGTGATAATACTGCATTTTTATAAACATTATCTGGTCATACAAGGAAGGAGTCATTACTGAAGACCAGAGAAGAAGGCCTGAAGCCTGGAATTTGGTCATTAAATGAACAGAAGTCTGTCATTAAGTGGGGGAAAGAGTCCTAGTTTTTTGTGGTCATTAGTCAAAATTACATTGTGTGAATGATTGTTAAAGGAAGGAGGTGGAGGATTACTAGAAATCTGGAATGGATTGAAAGTGGCACAGGAGATATCTCATGAAGGGTTGAAGGGAAGGGATGAATTAAGTTTTAAGTGGTAGGAGCTTGAGCATCCCCCAGGCATGTGTGAGTGTTTGACTAGAGTGGAGACAAAGTGGTTTCTGAAATTTGGCATGCTATCAGTGTAAGAAAAGTAACAATTATACAGGAATTCAAAGAAAGCAACTTGCCAGACTCAAGTTCAGGGGGTGGGAAGCACAGTGCACACACACACTGAAGAATGCACGGGGATGATGCAGCTTGGCAAATCACTTGAACTGTGATATCCGTGCACTTCTGGCAAGACAGCTATTGAACAACTGATAGTGAATGCATTTTTGGGTCACCTTGCCTTGAATAATTACACTGTTTTGCACATGCATGCATGTACATGAATGTGTATGTACTCTATTGCATGGGGAATGTACATTCACACACATGCATGCACACACACACATGCATGCACACACACACACTGTCATGGGCAGTTGCTGGGGAGTAGCAAGAATGCAGTTGGTTTTCTTTTCTGGCTCAGGCCTGCATATTAATGTTAGCCTCCGAGTTTCCCTCTTCTCTTGCCCCCCTTCTCACCTGGAACACTTTAGCAGATCCTCTGTACACAATAACTATTTCTGCCTGCTAATCCTCAAAACCTCAGGCCTTTTACATCATTTATAATGACAACTGTTGCCATAACAGCTAAATCACTGAACGACCACTACATTAGCTGGTGTCAATTCATAAACCTTTATAAACTTTATCCATTTTGTCCATATAATTGTTTAATGAAGTTAATTCAATACTGTAGTAATAAAATAGATGTGTGCAAAACAGGGAGTCTGACAACACACACACACACACTACTCTCCTACAATTACCGGTCATCTGGAAAATCACAGTTTGGTAAATCATCATGTAACTAAAAAGGTATGAGAAAATAAATACATATGGCAACTGGGATCCTCAAAATTCAGCAGAGTATCCTATAAATATGAAAGCTGCAAGAGTGCTAATGATGACCTTAGAGAACACACTCAACGTGCAATACAATGCCCTCATTATGTATCCTATGTTTGGTGTTACCTGTTCACCTTTTATGCCTGATAAATGCTCTTCTGCACTTACTATGAATTAATTTTAGAGTCCCTTTCTTTCTTATGACTTATGTTTCCTTATATCACAGTCAAATTAAAACATTGGTAATCATTTACTGAGTAAAATCATGAAACTTTGGTGTGGTGTGTATGCTTGTGTTAGTTGCCTTGATTCGGTGTTCATTAACGTAAGTTACTATATTTTATTGACATAAGAATGAGTACCCAGGTTCAGTGTACTATAACCTCACGCAGGGTTCAGCCTTTCTAGCATATTGGCAACACAGTTACACTGAATGAGTTATGTAATACATGTACAGAAAATCTCTGGTGATTATTTTGTCTTTGGGAAAGTATTATCTGGGTACATGCTTGATGTGGACATGAACTGTCTGTACTAAAATCAATTCATGCAAACCATACACATTTCTGCAAATGTGAAAAACATTTTATACAGAACAAAGTAGAGGAAACATTACTCATGAAATATTTACAAACTGAAAGATTTTTATGAAATAATCCTATATTACAATAAAATAAAATTTCAACAATAACATTATGAAAGATTTTCATTGCAAATAACTCGATATAAAGAGAAAAAAAAAAACTATGTTTAAGACAAATTCCTAAGGAAATAAACCTGCTGACTATACTTTTTCACAATTACTATATATATATATATATATATATATATATATATATATATATATATATATATATATATATATATATATATATATATATATATATATATATATATATACAGTGGACCCCCGCATAACGATTACCTCCGAATGCGACCAATTATGTAAGTGTATTTATGTAAGTGCGTTTGTACGTGTATGTTTGGGGGTCTGAAATGGACTAATCTACTTCACAATATTCCTTATGGGAAAAAATTCGGTCAGTACTGGCACCTGAACATACTACTGGAATGAAAAAAGTTCGTTAACCGGGGGTCCACTGTATATATAAATATATATATATATATAAATATATATATATATATATATATATATAAATATATATATATATATATATATATATAAATATATATATATATATATATATATAAATATATATATATATATATATATTATATATATATATATATATATATATATATATATATATATATATATATATATATATATATATATATATATATACGTCGTGCCGAATAGGCAGAACTTGCGATCTTGGCTTAAATAGTAACGCTCATCTTGCCATATAAGACAAGTGAAAATTTGTGTATGCAATAATTTCGCCAAAATCATTCTGAACCGAACGAAAAAATATATTTGATTGTGTTTGTTTAGTACTAAATTATTGTAAATGTATTTAATATATATTTAGTTGGGTTAGGCTAAAATAAATTGCTCTTGTTATAATAAGGTTAGGTAAGTTTTCTAAGATTCTTTTGGTGCAAAATTAAAATTTTTTTCATTAACATTAATGAAAAAAATATATCTTTAAACGTATAAGAGAAAATTTTAGAAAGGACTTAATTTTAAATGAGTTCTTGCTAATTGACCAGTTTTACATATTCGGCACGACATATATATATACTGTATATATGTATGTGTGTGTGTGTGTGTGTGTGTGTGTGTGTGTGTGTGTGTGTGTGTGTGTGTGTTTGTGTGTGTGTGTGTGTGTGTGTGTGTGTGTTTGTGTGTTTGTGTGTGTGTGTGTTTGTGTGTGTGTGTGTGTGTGTGTGTGTGTGTGTGTGTGTGTGTGTGTGTGTGTGTGTGTGTGTGTGTGTGTGTGTGTGTGTGTGTGTGTGTGTGTGTAAATTTTTATAAGCATCAAATTTATTTGCAATATTTTAGATTAAACTTCAAGTAAAAATATTTGCAAAGGAGATACTTTCCAGAAATTCAAAATAAGAATGCACAAGGTAATCTCCACATCAACTGTATTTTTCAACAGCACCACAGGGACTATCATTGATACAGGAAATTATTTTGTATAGCATTGTATGAAAATTAATTATTTAAGGACTATTGCAGTAAGTATATGTTTAAAGCTTATTTGCTTCTTCAATAAACAAGATGAAAGTCTAACCCATTCTGAGTCTTACCATATACATGTCTCAGCTGACAACATCCACCTCCCGAGGAGAAGCACCTAGCAGGTTTTCTGGAGTTTGGTGTTGCTGTTGCTGCTGTTGCTGAAGATGGTGATCGTCTTCTCTGTCTTGGAATTCAAAGTCGTTAGACTGAGTTTGTTCAGCTTCACTTGTTGCCTGTTTGATAGCCTCTCTGTATGGCCCCCTCTTCCTCTTGTTATACCTCATCTGAAAAATTGAGCTTCATACATTTTGCATTGGGTATTAGGTGCACATGTAGGCATTTTATGCTTTAACATATACAGCATGTAAATATACATACAAATATTACCTCTCAGTCCACAGCAGGATTCAAACCTGTACATTCTGTATCAAAGTGAACAGTACTTTAGCCACTCAGCCAGATCCCAGATCTGAGTCTGTAGGCGTGCAGGTTTTAATCCTGCTGTGGACTGAGAGATAATGTTTGTAAATAATTTCACCTGTTTGCAAATTGTTAAGCATACAGTACATACAAATTTGACAAATGAATGACTACCATGAAAAAACAATTCTGTAAGAAAGGGATGTTCTATCAAATTAGAGGCAGTGATTGTATGTGATTTAAATATTTTTCTTTATTCAGGCTCGATGAAACACACTATGAATGGTTACCCATCAGAATTCCCAACTAACACAAGAATTGGATGCAAGGCAACAATGTTTAAAGTTGCGAGGAGGAGGAGGTGGAGATGCCATATTTGAGATCATGCATGGTGTGAAGAAATTAGAAGACAGCAAAAAAAAAACAGCAGTACTCCTTCCCCACCCTTGATGGCTTATTCCATTTTCTCCACTTCCAAATTTTGTTCTCCCATTCTCACTTATTCTATATTCTCTTATAAGGGAATGAAGAATAACTGTGCATAGGGTATTAACTGGGTATAAAAACAGATAATGCAAAATTATATTCAGTTCACAAAAATTGCTGGATTTTTATTTAAATAGTAATGTAATGCTATATAGCCAAGGACTCGACTGACATATTACACATTACATTAAGTACTGTATCTAAATTTAAGAAATCAAAAGAAATTTTATGTACAGGTATATATGTAGCACAGTATATATTCTTTCATTCTCTAGCTGATAATGGTTTATTCCACTCTCTTATCATTCTTGTATGTTTAATTAAGCTTAATGCTTGTCTTGCATCTTTCCCTCTACTTTTGTAGAGGGAAAACAGTCATCGTTCTTTAGACACATTCTTCCATTCTGATGCAGGAATACAGCCAATTATTAAAGTTTTCCAGAATATTTTGTTTATTTCTAAGTGACTATAATGTTTTCATTCCAAGTGGAAGCTAGGCATAACAATATATACACATGGTAGTCTCACCTTGAACATTTGAAGAAAGGGCTGCAAAGTATTAGCTGGCATGAGAGAGGATGTGGAGGAGCCATACCAACTAACATGAGCCTGCTGCCACTTAGTGTCACCACTTCCTTCACGTAAGACACGAATTGCCATCACCTTCAGAGCAACAGAATAACCAGGCTGACTATGTGCAATATATTTGTTTTTAATAATGGTAACAACCTTAATAATAATAAATCACATTAAAATCTGTTTACCAAAGAGCAACCTCAAATCTCAAAAAATGCTACAGTAGTTACCCACTCAACTGAATTACTACCTATTCATCTGCATCTGCTGCTACATATCCAGAGGTTATATGCCCTGATCAAACACCCTCTAGACAACACAACATTTAAAACACAGTATGACTGAGCTTGTTTCATTCCTATTACAATATGTTCCCATTAAACTTTTTTTTTTTTTGTACTAATAAATTTTTCCCATTCAAAGATGAAGGCTATCTTTTCATTACTATAACCCCACTAGCCTCCTTCCTGTTTGCTCTCCTTACAATTCATTCATATACTGTTTTTTAATGAGCTTAAGTTTTCTTATTGAATCCTTTGCAAAGACGAGTTGTCAACTTTTTGTGTGTGATGACTAACTACTGGATTGATTGTCCACAGCAGAAGCCTATTCATGCAGGTTCTGGAGCTAATACTTTGGAATAATTGTGAGAATAATGTGGTATCACCCATCTTCATTGGTGGTCATATATTGGACTTGCTTCTCTCTGCTGCCAATTCTCAGAACAATAAAGATGCTGAAGTAATACCTCTCGATATTACTCTGTCTGATTATAGTATCATTACTTTGTCTTGATATTTCAGTGCCTCCTCCTTGTTAGCGCATGTCTTTCCGTAAATATACACAGAAACTTGGATTTGGATCAGGTTGCTAAGATGAGGAGAGATATTTGGGCAAGGTATTTGCATCTGCTCTGTATGCTGACCAGTTAGCAAAGATTCATAATGAGGTGTTTTGTTCTTGTGGCTGTGTCTAGCAAGTTCTATCCTTTGATCATTAAAAGAATCTTGATTCATGACTTTGCCCACCTACATAGGCCTCATAGGTGTGCAAAGCACTGATTGTGCAGATTGTGTGTGCATACTCCTGAATCATGGTCTGATTATACAGAAGCCCTTTAGAAGTCATGAACAGGATATCAGCTCAAAAGGTTGAATATTACTAGGGAGAAAAAAACGAATCTTGTCATGGAAATTAGCTCTTGTTCACCCACGTGAATGACCTACTTGGTCGTATATTTGAGTCTTCTTTACCTACCTCTGATTCTGTTTTTCAGCTGACCTCAGCCTTCTCTGATTATCACTGGCTGACAATGGCTTCAGTTTATGTTTAAAAACGTGTTTCCAACTAATTTTGGGATGCCGAATTCAAATCTGAACTTAAGTTTTACTCCAACCTATACAGTTTCTGTGAAATAAAACACCATGGTGAATGATTTCACCAGACATAGTCATCATGGAGAAGAGATATTAAGTAAACCCAGCAATTAGTCTGAGGGCTGACTATTGCTGGACACTGGTGCAGGAAAGCAATAATGAACACAAGTGCAAAAAACTGATAACTGTGATGTAAATATGTACAGTATGTATGTATGACTGTAGGGAAATTTCTGTTATTTATGTTATGCGTTTATATAATGAATTTGCATTAAGAAAAATTTGTTTCTGTCATTGCATGCACCACACTGAATATCAACTTTAAATGGCCAAAATAAAGACCATAGGATTTCAAAACCCTTATGTCATTAGTGCATAAGTTAGTTTAACCCTTTTACTGTCCAGATTAAAAAAAAAAAATTTAATCTAATATGGTAGAGAATCTTTTTCTGAAGGTAATGACACCAAAAGTACAAAAATTTGATGGAAAACTTATGGAATTACACAGGCACAAAATTAGTAGTCTTGGCACAATTTATGCATTGGCAATTTTGTCCGACGAGTTCTATTTTAAGTCAATTCCACCGTTTCCTTTGACCAAATTCTTAGTAGTACGCCTTTCATTCTGTCAACTCAGGTACCCTGGCCTCAATGATGTAGGTCCACATGATGGACAGTGAAAGGGTTAAAACAACTAAGCTGGTTTCTGAACCAGATAAAAAGTTAAATTTTGTTGATTAGTGCTGTTTTCATGATAAAATAGAGAATAGTCATTTAGACTTGGATCCAACTAAGGTGAGTACAGAGTTCTCTAATTATTCTGTCTCTTGATACATTACAGATTAACTTTTCTCAGTTTGCTATAAGTGGCAAAGATGGGTTTCTGGGGTATATCATGAGCTCTAATACTATACTGTGCATTAGATTCTATAAATGTTTCAAAGACCTTGCACACACATGAGAGTGCAGTTCTTTTTATAACCATATTGAGCAATCATAATTTTCAAAGTGGATACTTTCCACGGTCAATCAAGGTGACTTTGATTCACCTGCTCCTCAAAAAGCCTTCCCTTGATTCAGAAAACATGTCAAACTATCATCCTGTTTCTAGTCTCATGTTCCTTTTGAAACTAACTGAACGTGCTATTTATGATCAACTGTTTTTTTGCTGTGTTAGTTTTTATCTTTATACAGATACCAATTTTTTCTTTTGTGCATTACAAGTAATGTAGTTTACATGCAAGAAAGCATTGGAATGCACAAAAGAAATCTGCTAATATGCAAAGCATTTTGGTTAAACAAATCATCCATAATACAGCATATCAGTAAACTGAATGCCTGAATGATAAATTCCCACTCCAGGCAGCATACTCCACCAATATTCAAAAGTCTAAACTTACTCACCGTAAAGAACATCCATACTTATTACTGTGCCTACTACATACACAGAACACTACACTCAAATACAGTATAAACCCTCCACTCAAACTTCTCCTTACCAACCTTAACAGGACACACGACCATAACACAAGACACAGATCACTCTTTGATGTTCCCTGTGTCCATCTCACACTATGTAAAAACTCAGTACATATAAAGGGCCCAAAAAGTTGTAATTCATTACCAGTGAATACCAAAGGAACCCTATCTGTACATCAATTCAAGACTTCTTAAAAACCACCTACCCACCCAAAACTAAATACTCAGTATTTAGCTTTACCTACAAAGCTAACAAATCACTCTCCACTGCCTCAAAATATCACTGGTCACTGTGTTACTCCACTAGCCTCAGAACCCTATAAGTAAATGCTCTAAGTGTACAATAAATTCTCATATTTTAACCTAATGCAAATGTTGAATAACAAATACTCCACTAGCCTCAGAACCCCACAAGTAAATGCTCTAAGTGTACAATAAATTCTCATATTTTAACCTAATGCAAATGTTGAATAACAAATATTTAATAGATGTATAACCTATTGTATAATTAGTGCATCCTTATCAAACTATGTTTTCTATGTCTAGTGTTTAAGTAATCAGTAATGTATTAAGTTTAGACTGCCCGTAATGCCAAGGCATGATAGTGGCTCTCTTTGCACTACAAATCATTGTAAACCTTCACTGTAAACTACCTACATAAATTCTTTCTTTCAACACACTGGCCATATCCCACCGAGTCGGGGTGGCCCAAAAGGAAAAAACGAAAGTTTCTCCTTTTATATTTAGTAATGTATACAGCAGGGGTTACTAGCCCATTGCTCCTGGCATTTTAGTTGCCTCTTATGACACACATGGCTTATGGAGGAAGAATTCTGTTCCACTTCCCCATGGAGAACCTATGTAAATCTTTCTTCTTAAAATATGTCAACCACATTGTAAACTTGCAAGGAAATAGATATTCATCAATATCTACAAAGAAACAGACTTAAGATAGAAATGGGCTTTTCAAATTATTATACTGTACTGAATGTACCATAAAATGTTTTAAAAATAAACAATTTGAACATTTTTAATTATAAAATCTTACCTTTGCTGGCCACCATGGGAATCCATGTATTTTTCCCCATACAACATCTCCTACTGCCATAACTCTTCCTTCTCCAATCTCACACTGCTCTACTTCTTGCCAGCTGAGTTTCATCAAAAGAGCAGCACTTGGTTGGCCATCAAGTCCTTCAATATTTGGAGCACTGCTTGGAAAGTCAGGAACTACTCCATTACATGCATCATCACTCCCAGGAGAGTCACTGCCTGGAAGGGAAGGCTCTGGAGTTTCCATCCCATAAGTTGTTGCTGTTGGCCTATCACTTCTCTCTTCCATTGTATCTATTAACGATGGCAAGTTTTCTGTTCTGGCACTTTCCAATTCATAAGACTGAAGCAATTCTGAAGATGCATCTTTACCATATTCTTCTGATTCAAATGGTACAGCTTGAGATCTATCCTGTCTGATACGGTCCATTTCAAATGCCATTTCTTGGGCTTTTTCGGCAACATCTTCGTGGCAAACAGGATTCGTTGGGGTAACAGTTCTTTCTCCATCTGAATGGCTTGAATCACATGCCACATAACTAGCATTACTTACTCTTTTTATGGATATTGAAAGCTTATGTCGAGAAGGTTGCAAAGGTATACCTGAGTTGGAAGCAGATTGCAAATTTAAATTGGATTGACTAAAATTAAGAGCTGATTGTGAAGACTGGTCAATAGGATATTCATTTCCCTCAGATGCATTCCACTGTAAATCGGGAGTGATATTTTCAATAGGAATGTCTGGATCTATGGACTCTGGTAAATGCATAGAGTTTTCCTTATGATCATTAATTTCAACTTGGGCTTTGCTTTCTTCTGGTGATTTATGCCTGCGCTCATCTTTATGTTTTTTTTTGTGTTTCACCTTATGTTTATGCTTTTTTGGAGGCAAATCACGAGTTGAAAGATCAACGGCAGCAGCTCTGGCAGGGGACATGCCTCCAAAGCGAGCTGGAGATGTACCACCAAATCTTGCTGGTGAGAAACCACCCAACCTTGCTGGGGACATGCCACCAAGTCTGAGAGGTGACATTCCCCCAAACCTTGGAGACATTCCTCCCACAATATATGCAGGCGAGGCCCCGCCAAGCATTGTCTTCTTTTGAGCTTCTTTTTTTGCCTTTTTCAATGCTTTTTTAGCTGCTTTTGCACTAATGTCTTTATATTTTTTAGTCATTTCTTCTTCTGTATCTACTTCAGGAGTACTAATAGTGGCAACAGTACTCTTGGATGGGATTTTGAGGACTGTTCCTTTCCCCTCTGGTCCAAAAGAAATTTTTAGGACTGGTGTAGCTTTTGGTTTGTCTCCTTCTAATACATCTTTGTCTTCACTTATAAGTTTCTGCGAGTCATTGCCTTCTTTCCCTTCTTCTGCCTCTTCTCTTTTGTGCTTTTTTGCAGTTTCATCAAAGACACTTTCATCCCATAGATCTTCCATTGAACCTAAAGAACGCTTTTTTCTTAAACTCATTTTCTCAGTAGGAGTATCTTCTAAGAAACCTTTACCTATTTTATGATGCTTAACATCACTAGAGATCTTCTCCTCTTGACATTCTTTCTTTGGAATCAATGGAAGAATTGTTAATTTTGGTATGGGAGATACCCTATCACCTAAAGACTCCCCAAAGTCTTGAAATCCAGTGGCTGTGATCGTCAACTTATGCACATTACCTGATCTTAATCTTAATTCTTTTGCATCAACTTGTGCCTCACTTGAATCTGACTGTTTTCTATTTTTCCCACTATCTTTATCTTTTTTATCACTGACAGGTTCAGAAACAATTCCTGAAGTGGATAATATCATCTTAGGTATACCCTGGTTTCTTATTTCACTACTATCACTTTCCCAATTTTCCTTGGAGCCTTCACTAGATTGTAAAGCAAGGTTAAAAGTTGATATAGTCATCTTTGGAATGCGACCTTTTCGCTTTGTTTCTGCTGATTCAGCTGCGCAAAGACTGGTAGATAGTTTTAACTTTGGTACTTTGCCATCTGAAGCACTATTATTTCCCGACACAGAATAAGATGTGTTTGAGCCAACACTTACTTCACTATCACACGAGTCCGAATCACTTCGTGTACTGCGAGTCTGTGAACCTTTTCTTAGACAGCTTACTCCCTTATTTGTAGCAGCCTCTATTTCACTTGGTTTCAATTTTACTAATTTAGGAACCAGTCGCACATTCTTCTGTGGAGATCGCTCTCCTCTTCTGTGTTGGGAGGATGTACCACTGTTGTGTTGCTCTTGGGAATTCCTGTCACGTGAACTTCTGGTACTACCACGAGTTTCAGTAACTGGCTTAGCTGCTGTTGGTGGCTCAGTTGCTCTTTGACCTTTTGCTCCACTAACATTTTCTGACTTCTCATTACATATAGACTGACATTTAGAACACAAAACTTGTCTTGGTCTTAGACGCACTGTCATACGAGAGTTTTTGAAACGCTGAGTAAGAGAAATTGACTTTCTAAGCTGCACCCCCTTTTTGGCTTTCGAGTTGGGATCCACAATGGCTGTATCTTGCTGGAAGTAAGTGTGTCGCTGCTTCACAGAGAAGAGTTTATCATCATTCTCTGACACTGGTGTGGCATCTGTTGGTGGTTTTGGTGGAAATTCACCACCTGGGGGATATATTCCACAGGGAAGTCTCCTGAAAGTAAATAAATAATTCCTTAAGAAAATTCTGAAATAAAACCAAGAAACAGCAAAAGTATACTGCGCAAACACTGCAAGTATTAAACAATGAGGACAGATTGCTCAAGGTAGATCTCTTGCCCCTGGAGAAATGCAATACAGAGCAATAGGGGATATAATCATGTCATACAAAATACCCTGAGGTGAAGACAAGACAAACTATACCAGCAGAGAACCAAAATTAGGGTACATGAATGGAAGCTACACACCTACCAGAGTCAATCCATCCTACATCAGGAAACCGTTTACAATGTAAGAACAGAATGTGGAATGAGTTAGATGACCGAGCTTAAAAAATAATTAAATTAAAATTAACTTTTTATTTCTTGTGAGCCATACAAAGAAGTTACAGCAGATATACAAAAATTAATACACAATGATACAAATGTATACCTGTTTTTCTTTTGTGCTGCAAGTATCAGGCCAGAAATTTACATGACTTATTTTCTTAACCCTTTGACTGTCGCGGCCATATATATACGTCTTACGAGGTACCGTGTTTGACGTATACATACTCATAAATTCTAGCGGCTTCAAATCAAGCAGGAGAAAGCTGGTAGGCCCACTTGTGAGAGAAAGGGTCTGTGTGGTCAGTGTACACCATATAAAAAAATCCTGGAGCACGCAGTGCATAATGAGAAAAAAAAACTCCGACCGTTTTTTTTTTTAATTAAAATGCCGACTTTGTGGTCTATTTTCGTATAATATTTATGGTTGTATTCTCGTTTTCTTGGTCTCAATTGATAAAATGGAAAACATATTATAGAAATAGAGGTGATTTTGATTGATTTTACCATAAAAAGAACCTGGAAATCGAGCTCAAAGTAGGGGAAATGTTTGATTTTTGCTGATGTTCAAAAGTAAACAAATGATGTCATTGTCCAATAAATGTCCAACTAGCCATTCTAATATGCAGTCATGAATGGGTTGATGTTATTTAAACAATTATTACAATATTGCAGTAGTCTGCATAATAGTAAGTCTTCTATTTTTTGTCTGAATAAAAATTCAAAATAGAAAACAAGAGTAATATCAGAGGGGCCTTGAGACATGACTGATGAACAAAGAAAATGTTATTTTAGAGCCAGGAATGTCTGCATTGTTCATTCTGGACCTTATTTTGAAACTCATATTTTTTAATTTTCGTGAAACTGGCCAAATTGCAAATTTCTGACCATATTATTGGGTAGTTGAAATCGGTAAATGGGCAGTTTCTCGTACTCAATCAATAGAAAAGATGGAGTTCTAAAGAAATCGCTATGAGTTTGGTCAACTGGAACACCGGAATTAGCCGAAAATAGGGCTCAAAGTGGGCGAAATCGCCGCTTTGTAAATATTGCCGAGGTTGCTAACTTCGCGAGAGCATAATTCCGCCAGTTTTCCATCAAATTTCGTTTTTTTGATGTCATTACAATCGGGAAAAGATTCTCTATCACTTCATAACAAAAAATAATTTTTTTTTTTTTTAAATTTTGCGACACCAGGAGACACCTCAGGATTAGGGGTTGCAACAGTCAAGGGGTTAAATATCTCTTTAGTGTCACAAATACTAAAATTTCTAAGTCTAGGTCCAGGAAATCCACTGAGATTATTTTCAGAAAAATCCTATGGATTTAATTTTGCATAACAAGTGCCAGGATGAAAATTAACATTCCTACATTTTCTTAATATCACTCAAATGCAGTTAATACTGACATTCCATAAGTAATCTTTATCAAAGTAAGAGGGATTATATATAATGGCATAAAGATTAAGACAATGACCATCACATTCTGTCTGAGGTCATCATGCTGATAAGCCAAATGACCATCACTGGTGAATGTTCTTAGTTTATTTTTATTTTGTGGGGTTGGGGTTCAATATTTCTTGTGTAGGTACATGCTGATAGGGCAAGTGTAGTGCTACCACAAATATTCAATTTTAAGTTTTAATGTGAAAAGACAGCACTGTAGTTTTTATACAAAGTCATATGAGTTCCAAAGATGAGATGTTGGGTATACCAGAAGGGAGAATGGGGAAAGATGGAAAAAAATTTAGAGTACAGGATATGCATAATGGTCCAGGGAGGTCTTCAGCTCAAGGGAATCATTCATTACTGTTTTGAAGATCTGAGTCCTGCCCTCTATTATGTAAGTTCATCTAATGGCTAACCAGACCATTAATAAGCCCAGAATTAACTCTTTAACTGTTAAGTAAAAGGATACAAGTGCAACTAATGTGACATTTTATTGTGGTAACGTTTCGCTCACCAGGAGCTTTGTCAAGCCATTGCAAACAGTACATGGACACATGTATCACTACTACAACAGTACTACCTCCACTAGTATTACAACTACTACACCTCACTTGAATCCTATATGTACCCTCTGTGTCCATGTACTGTTTGTAACGGCTTGACAAGGCTCCTGAAGAGCGAAACGATGCCATAATAAAATGTCACATTAGTTGCACTTGTGTTCTTTTACTTAACATATTGTCGTTAATTCTACCAACGTTAATACAACTCTTTCACTGTAGCAGTCCCCAAAATTAAAAGTCCCACCAGTGTCATAATTTTTTGAAAACAAATATTTATCTTCTAAAATGGTAATCTTTTTCTAAAGGCAATTACAACAAAATGCAAAATTTGATGGAAAACTTATGGAATTATGTTTGCACAAAATTGATGGTCAGGAGAGCACTATGTAATTGCAATGTCTCCAACTTTCAGGCAATTTTAGAGTAATTCAAACATGGTACGGATGGGGTATCATTACTCAGACTGACCCAATTTCTGGCTATTTCACCAGTAAACCTACCATTCTATAGCTCAAGCACAAGAACTGCCTATTCACTTATCTATCCTATGAAGCACCCACAAGTTGGCCAATTTTAAACAAAGTTTCAATTTAAAAACAGACCAAAATAAACACTGTAGGCATTCCACCCACTAGGTTATCCTTTCCTCTGTTCATCAATCATGTCCCTAGGCCTCTCCTATATAACATTTACCCTCCATATTTTCAAATTCAAAATTCAATTCAAAGTTTATTCTCTATAAGGATTACAATGTTGAATTTACAGAATTTGGTTATTGTGTGGTTTACATGTAGTTAAATAATGATTACAGAGTGTACCACTAGAACGCCTAGCATGGCTAGGCATTTCGGGCAGACCTAGTAAAAACCTTTAAAACAAACCAGGGAAGGATGGTCCCCTACCCTTCCTCAGAAAAAAACTGACAAAAAATAAAATACTTCCACCACTTTGATGCCTGTTCCAGGCCACTTCCAGTCTGAAACCAGCCAAAATCATCTCCATTTCACTAGTGCGCCTTCTGGTCTATCAACTGACACCAAAAAAATAGCCAATAAAACCATAAAACCATGAACACACCTCAGAGTCACTATTGTAACCTAAGCACAAAATCAGAGGTTAGCTGTTCCCATCACACACTGCATGGAGCAGGATTTTTTTAAAACTGTGCATGCATGCAATGCAAACACGTGCACACACGCACACGCACGCACACACACACACACACACACACACACACACACACACACACACACACACACACAGGAGAAAGTGCAAAGGTTTGCAACAAGACTAGTCCCAGAGCTACGGGGATTGTCCTACGAAGAAAGGTTGAGGGAAATCGGCCTGACGACACTGGAGGACAGGAGGGTCAGGGGAGACATGATAACGACATATAAAATACTGCGCGGAATAGACAAGGTGGACAAAGACGGGATGTTCCAGAGAAGGGACACAGAAACAAGGGGTCACAATTGGAAGTTGAAGACTCAGATGAATCAAAGGGATTTTAGGAAGTATTTCTTCAGTCATAGAGTTGTCAGGCAGTGGAATAGCCTAAAAAGTGACGTAGTGGAGGCGGGAACCATACATAGTTTTAAGGCGAGGTATGATAAAGCTCATGGGGCAGGGAGAGAGAGGACCTAGTAGCAATCAGCAAAGAGGCGGGGCCAGGAGCTATGACTCGACCCCTGCAACCACAAATAGGTGAGTACAAATAGGTGAGTACAGGAGCTTGGACTCGACCCCTGCAACCTCAACTAGGTACGTACGTACGCACGCGCACACAATGCACACGCACACAATGCACACGCACACACGCACACACGCACACGCACACACGCACACACGCACACACACACACACACACACACACACACACACACACACACACACACGGATCTACTTAAGCAACACTGGCCTCAAATAACAAAGATCTATATCAGAGAGTGAAAGGGTTAATACCATCAGGGTGACTGAACACCAGGTAGGAGGCTGCAGGGATCTAGAGTACGTATATGGATAGGAACAGAAGGGTAGACAAAATTCAAAGGGAAGATGAAGGACCAACCACATTAGCTGGAAACAAGGCACTGACTTTTTTTTTATTTATCCCAAGTAATTTACACATATGTTACTATGTATGATAATTTGTGTAACTGTATTTATGTGTACCTGTATCTAAATAAACTTACCTATACTTTTTCTACAATCTTGGAGGCCAGATCAGGAATACAAGGTTGTGGATTTTACAAAGCAGAAGGGAAAAGGAAAGATGTGACCAGAAAAAAAAACAGCATGTCAATTATTTTGCTTACAAATATATTGCATTCTCACATATACTTGCTTGACGTTCAGGTCCCACCCACTTAAAATCTTTACACCCTCCATCTAACCATTCCTGGAACATATTCTATATCACCTTCCACTCACCCTCCCGGTCTCCATATTATAGAATGGATTACAGTGGGTGGGCAGGTAAGTAAAAATGACATCCAATACAAGAATCTTTCCTACAAAGACTGATTAGAGTATTAAACTTTACTACTTTCAAATGAAAGGTGTAAAATGAAAGGTGATATAATTGGTGTACAAATGAGTGAAAGGCATAAAAAGAGGAATTACATGTGCTAAATTATCAAGTTAAGACAACACACATGACTTAAAAAATGGGAACTTTGTGCATGTTTAAAGTGTGGAGAATGCTTCAGATATGAACCTATAAAAGCATTTATGGCAAGACAACTTTTAAAGTAGAAAGATACAGATGAATTACAAATCATACTGATAGTTATATGCAACACTATTATACAGAAATTTGTCTTGAAAATATATATGTACCTGTAATTTAAGTGGCAGACAGGAAAATATTTAAATACTGTGTCAAACAATACAATCATCCCTCCACACTATATGATTACATTAACAAATGATAAAAAAGTACTATAATAATAAAGAATTTTAGAGGTTCATGAAAGGAAAAAATATGTGCTTTACAAATAGGAGAGAATAGGAATGGGTGCAAGAAACAGATAGCATATGACACTGGAAATTTTAAGAAATTATATAAATAAATTGGAAAATATGGGACACCATGTGCATAGCTTTACACATGAAAATATATGACCCACATGGAGTCAGTGCATATGTGAATATAATAATAATATATTCCCAAAATCACACATAGACAATTATACAGCATACATGTTGTGTATCTTTATATGTATATGCTTCTAAACTGTTGTATTCTGAGCACCTCTGCAAAAACAGTGATAATGTGTGAGTGTGGTGAAAGTGTTGAATGATGATGAAAGCATTTTCTTTTTGGGGATTTTCTTTCTTTTATGGGTCACCCTGCCTCGGTGGGAGACGGCCGACTTGTTGAAAAAAAGAAAAAAAACATTTAACACCATAAATACCTTGATGCTGATAAGGGTTCCTTATCCCAGGAACTGGAGATAACATCCCCCTTTTCCTGGATCAAACCTGATTATTTCCCATTCCCCAGGTACTGTATGACCCCTATGGGTTTAGAACACACCATGATTCTCATAATATGTACCCCATAATTCTAATAATTTATAATGCAATCATTCACACAATGTTTAAATTTTCAGCATTTTACTCAATTTTATATCATTTGTGATCCAAGCATTAACTTAAGTTGAGCATAAAACATGTAGCTGACCAACATTATGTTGGTCACAACTTTTATCTAATAGGATACAGTTAGTCTCATAAGTAAAAAATCTTGCTTTACTAATTTATTTTTAAACAGAGTTCACTATGACATACAGTATATATGCAAGACATACTTGTCACAGGAGTATTTAATTAAATAATTAACACAATACAGTAAAACATCAGGTTGATGATAATTCAACTTTTTCCTTGTATTTTAATTAGTAATATTCATTTTTTGAGAAACTCCAAACCTACACAAGTCACTACTATACTCAAGAGAAGAATGAAGCATTGAAAATAGAAAAAATGAATGAAAATTCATACATCAGACCTATTACAATACCAGTCTTATGTCTATGTGTCAAAATTTAATCCTGTAGATTTAGAGCAAAGCTTTAGTATTCAACCACTGCACAATGTGACATTGAAAAGAAATAGCTATATCAGACAGTCTAAACCTCAACAGATCAAGAGAAATTTGAAGCAACAGACATGCTTATTTCTGGGACTATGACTACCAACTCAGGCTAGCGACATTACCGCTCAAATATGAACGCTTATTTCTCCTTACCTCTTAGTTGAATCGAGCAAAACTCCTTGGAAAACTTGAGTGCCATGTTCATAGGACACGAGGAGGAGGTCAAGTTGGGCATCTTCCACCGTCACTACGAGTTTTTGCCCTCTACATATATCAATACGACAGGGTTGTTGGTCCTCCATTTTCTTCTTCATTTCAGGATCGCCATCTTTACTGGGGCTGAGGAGGACCTCGCTGCCACGACTCACGGAGTCTTCCATAAAATTTCGCTCAGTATAGCCGAACTCCTAACAATAAACAATACACAATAAAGCTAATTTGATATTTCAGGATCGTCATTTAGCTTACTGTATACATCATCAAGAGTTAGAATAAAATTGTTACCGTGTATGGAAAATTTAGAGAGCGCATGAGCTATCGTAATAAAAAATAAAGCTGCACATATATATATCAATTTGAACAGTACATACAGACACTCCAAATTATACAGTGAAAGCTGCACTATACACCAGCTTGATTGAATGAGAATTTGCGCATGCGCAATATCAAAATTCTAGCATTGGCCTTTATTTCTTTAATTATAAAACTTAAATGAGGCTCACAGGGCCAGCATTTTGACCTCATATGGTAGGCTTACTCAGCCAGAGAAGAGACAAGAGTCAGCAGGACGCCAGCCTCCCGCTGTAGTACTAGCACCTACCAGCATCTCCGCACCTCTTCTTTGGCTTATTCTAAAACACTATACACTTCTTAGTACTTATGAGTTACAACCTTTGAAGGCTGTACTTTAGTTGCTTAGTCTCTTAGGCTTAAAGTCTATCGACTGTACGTCAGTGATTAAGGTGGTAATTCACCAATGCACCAACATCAAAAATACCTCAAGCAATGAATTGATTAAAACTAACTTTTAGGTTGTAGTGTATATACATTCTGATATATACATTATCCTTCAGCCATTAGGCACCGTCGAGGCATACAACAGCAGACTGTTAATGCAATTTACTGTGTAGGGTTTGGTTTTATAAGGGGAGATACCGGGTTCAATCCTGGGAGGGAGGGAGCCTCCTAGCACCTGCTACCCTCTCACCTAGCTGTATTCACCTAATTGTTATTGTAGAAGTCGAGTCTCAGCTCCTGGCCAAGCCTCTGCTGACTGCTACCAGTTTCACTCTCCTGGCTGTCTGAGTCCTGTTCTACCTATTCTTAAAGCTATATATATATTCTGCCAATACCGTCTTTCTGTCTAGGTCTTTCCACTTCCTGACCCCACTAAGATTTTAATTTCCATCTATGCCCTTGTGTATCCGAATCCCGCATCTTAGACTCTCCCTGTTCACTTTGTCAGTTCCTCTCGGTATTTTGCAATAATGTCACCTCTGGTCTTTCTGTTCTTTAGTATCGTTAGGTTTAGCTCCTCTAGCCTTTCCTCATACTTAATACCCTGAATCACTCAGTTCTGGTACTAGTTTCGTTTGCAAACATTTGATCTTTTTCTAGTTTCATTGCATGTCATACTAGATGAGTTCCATACTGACGCCGTATACTCCAAGATGGGCCTGACATACATGTTGTATAGTACAAGGTCCCGAATGCTTCCTTGTTGATGTTCCTGAAACCTACCTCTTAGATTTACCGGTCTCGCTTTTGTTGCAGTGGTTATTCAGTTGCTGTGTGCCTCAGGTGATATACTTGGAACTATGCTCACCCCAAGGTCCTTCTCTTTCAGGGAGGTTTGCAGCTTTCCTCCCCCCCCCATCCCCCCGGAGCCTGTACACTGTTTTGGGGCGTCTTTGCTCTTCGATTTTCATAAATTTGTATTTGCTGGGGTTAAATTCCAATAGCCACTTGTCAGACCAATCATACAATTTGTCTAGATCCACTTGTAGTTTGTCCTGGTGTATCCCTGTTTATTCTCCTCATTAATTTCACATCACTGCAGGTCTACTCCAGGTCCGATCTGGTCCTTTTGAAAAATCATGCATTATTTTCTTAATTAAAATACAATCATGCTATCTCTCTACACCGGCATAAATGTTCATTTCTTTGGCAAATTGTTATTTTGGAAGATATAAGAATAAAAAATACATTTATTCTGGGACGTGCAGCACGTCGGGGGCTAATCTACAGTTAGTATTGACGCTCCTGGCCAATCACAGTGAATGAAACAAAGACAAATCTAATGTAAACAAGGGCGCCCCAGTCCTGTATCTACTGCTGGCAGAGTAAGGTTACGTTACTCAAAGTTATTTTATGTTGGGTGAGGTTACTTTTCTTACAACTGCACAGCAAAACAATATCCATATGGCCAGATTTCAATAATTATCTTAATTCCATGGTGTACATATGTTGCATGTATCATAAGAGTAACACTTGTCCTGTTTCCTGACAAAAGTTACCTAACTTAACCTAACCCGAGTTCCGTCAAGTAACTACTACCGAAATATATAAAACTTATTTAAATTATTATTATGGTTCACAAATATCTCATTAAATAATTTTCTCCAATTTGTGTATTATTTATGAATTGTTCTACTTTTCAATAAAGCTTTCACTGCACGTATAAGTACGATGAAGCACCTAAATTACTGGGAACAGTTGAGGTCCCTCGACCTGTACTCACTAGAGCGCAGGCGAGAAAGATACATGATAATATACACTTGGAAAATCTTAGAGGGACTAGTCCCAAATCTGCACACGGAAATCACTCCCTACGTGGCAGGCGGTGTAACAGCCCTCCAATGAAAAGCAGGGGCGCCACGAGTACGCTGAGTGACAACACGAAACGTTTCCTTAATAAAGATACCCAAGAGTTGCACATGTGTCTAATTTATCAACGTGTCGGTTCTGTGAACCATTCATCCATAAGGGAGATTACCAATATACCCTTGGCTGTCTTCAAGAAAGTGCTGGACAGGCACCTAAAGTCAGCACCTGACCAGCCGGGCTGTGGTTCGTACGTCAGTTTACGTGCTGCCAGCAGTAACAGCCTGGTTGATCAGACCCTGATCCACCACGAGGCCTGGTCTCAGACCGGACCGTGGGGGCATTGACTCCCGAAACCCTCTCCAGGCATGCCCCTGGCTGTCTTCAAGAGAGAGCTGGACAGGTACCTAAAGTCAGTACCTGACCAGCCGGGCTGTGGCTCGTAGGACAATTTGCGTGCGGCTAACAGTAACAGCTTGGTTGATCAGACCCTGATCCACCACGAGGTCAAGTCACGGACCTGGCCGAGTGTGGGTTGACCTCAGGAACACGCTCCAGGTATAGGTTCCTTGACGCCGGTGAATGACTCTTGAATCCAGAGAACTGGAGAGACTACATTTTCATAGATCAAACCTAATTGCCTCCCATTCCCAGTTTCCCACGCGCCGTAAGGTCCCCTACGATTTTAGCGCTTCCCCTTAATAATAATAATAATAATAATAATAATAATAATAATAATAATAATAATAATAATAATAATAATAATAATAATAATAATAATAATAATAATAATTTATTTCCGCATGATACAATGTTTATACAGAGATGGGTGACATTTAGCTGTACATGCAGAAAGTTCATAGTATGCAAAGCATTTCGGACACATAATAACTGTGAACTGCTCCAGCCACGGTATTGTGACTATTGACATAAACAACTAGACTTGCTTCGGTCGCTAAGTAATCTCATTAACCGAACCCCCTCTACCTCAGTGCACGTAGGACCCGGTATAGAATAAGATTCTAATGCAGTTGAAGATCTGAAGCTTATAGCAAGTTATGACATGTAAAACTAATATCACAATTCCTTTAAGTATAGTGGTAAACTAAATGTATTTCAATCGCTGTACGAGCCGTAGAAAGGTATCCCCGTATTTCACGCCCCCAGCCCCTTGTACCTAAATGCATGCGAAAGGCATAGAAGGGGTACGATAAAGCTCTTGGAGCAGGGAGAGTGGACCTAGTAACGACCACTGAAGAGACGGGGCCAGGAGCTGTGACTTAACCCCTGTAACCACAAATAGCCGAGTACAAATATGTGAGAATGTGGTATAAACGTCGAAGATTTTTAAGTGAAAGGGAAGAGCAGTCACAAGGTATCACATAGAAATTAATATCCCAATTCCTTTAATTAAAATTGACACATTAGGACATACACAGCCCAAAACAAATTCACACTTTCCACTAAAAAAAAAAAAGACCAACTTTAAGACTTTCAAGCCAAACTGAAGTTATCTCGCATAGATCAATATCCCATAATGCAGAAAGTTTGAAGCAGCTCAGATGTTGTATTATCAAACCATACCCCGACCGGGATTGAACCCGAGGTCAAAGAGTCTCAAAACTCCAGACCGTCGCGTTAGCCACTAGACCAGCTAGCCACAATAAGATTCGTCCAACTAGGTATATTTCTACACCATAGGAAGGTTAGCACAGGCACCACTGTGACCACAAATGCAAGTTTTTACAGACGAATCTCCAGCTTGCGTTTGTGGTCACAGTGGTGCCTGTGCTAACCTTCCTATGGTGTAGAAATATACCTAGTTGGACGAATCTTATTGTGGCTAGCTGGTCTAGTGGCTAACGCGACGGTCTGGAGTTTTGAGACTCTCTGACCGCGGGTTCAATCCCGGCCGGGGTATGGTTTGTTTGCAATCGTGTCATTACGATTTCGGGAGTCTTGTATTATCAAGTTATTAAGTCAAAGGTTTGAAGCCAATCAGATGAGGAACTCGCAAATTTTCCTATCAAAACCATATTTAAATTTTTCCAATTTCTTCAATAGAAATGAAAATTGAGGACCAACACAGACCAAAATCAGTCCAAACTTTTCTCTAAGTAAGATGGGGCAGCAATTAAGGTTTAGTTTGGATACATAACATACAAATTTGTTACAATAAGCTTGACAGCATGTAGGTGTCAAGGATGCATAAAAATTAATTATTTATATTTAGTCTAGGATATCCCAATAAAGTCAAACACTGATTTCTGATCAGGAGAGAAATTCTCTGGTTATTTCATGGAATATAATTTAATAAAATTAAAACAAAGCTTCCTTTGAGGAAACCACATGAGCACTGAAAGCTTAAAGCTGCCCAGAACCTGTTTTCTTTAGCTATTACATAAACCCAATAATTTAAAGTATATTAACTAGGTTAGAAAATTAAGAAATTTGCTCCAGCAAAGTCTGAACTCAAAAAGTTCTATCCATTTCATAACAAATCAGCCATAAAAGATTGAAGGCATCCGGATGAAGCACACTCCAAATATTTAATGAAAAAATTCCGCTGTACCATTTCGAAATTAAAACCAGCAAAATGGCATCTACACACTCCACTAACAAAGTCAATATTCTTCCAAGTAGGATACACGAGTGTCTGACGTCTAAAGATCA